TCTCTCTCTCTCTCTCTCTCTTTCTTTCTCTCCTCACCCCCTACCTTTTTTTCAGTCCCATTTACAACGTTTAGTGATTTTTTTATGTGAATTATTCAGTTTTAGTCTTCAGTAAGTTCAGATACTGTATACTCAAACATCCGGTCTTGGCGGGTGCTCTGGTGTGGTTTGCTCCTTCTTTGCTATCAATCATCTATCAACCTTATCTCTCCTCCTTCTTTTTTGTGTGTGTTGCCCTCTTGTAACACATCCGTTCCTCGGCTCTTATATGACCTTATTGTGTTACAAGTGCCGCAAAACTCTTACTAAAGCTAAAACATCCAATCGCTCGCTCAAATGACATCAAGAAATTGCTAAGGCCATAAAACTTTTATCAGGATTGGTTAAATTAAGCATTCCTTTTTTTGTAGTATTTTGGGTTTTGTGCACGGCCTGTTTGTTTGTTTGTTTGTTTTTGTTTGCTTGTTTGTTGGTTTAGTAATTTTATGTGAATTATTAATTTTTCAAAAGAATTCTCTTCAGTAAGTTCAGATACTGTATACTTTTTCTGTGTTTTTTCTCTTCAAACATCCAATCTTGGCTGGTGTTCTGGTGTGCCTTGCTCCTTCTTCCCTATTTAACATATATCGTCCGGATCTCCCCTCCTTTTTTGTGTATGCTACTCTCTTGTAACACATCTATTCTTCGGCACTTATATGAACCTTTTGTGTTGCAATGCCGTAAAACTCTTACTAAAACACAAATATCCAATCGCTCGCTCAAATGACCTCAAGAAATTGCGAGGGCCATAAAACTTTTACCCGAATTAGTTAAATTAAACATTCCCTTTTTCGTAGTAAAACCATAAACAAACATTTAATCATTTATTTCTCTTTCGATCATCTAATATTTTTCCCTCGTGAAAAAAGAAACAAACGTCCACAATTAAATTTGTCTTCTCTTGTACTACCAGAAAAAAACAACAACATTTTAACTAGAAACAAACATCCCACATGTGTGGTCTGGAACAAACATTACAACTAGTAAAAAACATCCAATATTTTCTTCTTTTTTTTCCTCGTCTTCCTGCCCAGAAACAAACATCCAGCATCATTCTCCCTCATACAATGTGCCAGGATCTGGACAATAAAGATGTATCTGATCTTATCTTATCTTATACAACGAGAAACAAACACTCAATTTTGATTTAACTTTCCTCTGTCGTCTCCCCAGAAACAAGCATCCACCCCAAACACCCGCGCTGGATCGGGGCCTGGTGGTTGGGCTACATCGTGTTCGGTTCCATGGCCCTGGTCATCGCCATGCCGCTCTTTTTTTTCCCGCGCACACTCAACCGTGCGCCCACCAGGAACAACCGGCAGCCTGACAAGTGGGTACATCAGTGGTTGCTTGTTTGTTTGTTTGTTTGTTTGACTGTTTGTGTGTGTATTTGTCCATACTGTGTCTCTTTCTGTCCATCTTATCTTTGGCTATTTATCTATCCATCTATCGTTCTACCTGTCATGCTACCGTATGTATACCTGTGTATAATATTATGTATTTCTATAATGTGCGTGTGCACAGAGAGAAAGCGAGAGGTAGAGAGAAGAGAGATATGATAGTTATGCAATCAATGTGTCTGTCTCTCTGTCCCTCCCATCTCCTTATCTTCCTGACATCTATCTGTCTATCTATTCCCCGCACAAGGGAAGGATCAGACAACAGTACCCTGGTTTTGTTGTTGTTGTTGTTGTTGTTGTTGTTTTTGTAAGTGTTTTACGCGCTCGCAACTGCATAAGGTTATATAAGCGCGCGGGACACTTTAACAACATTTTTAGTTTGTAGGAAATTTAGAATTTTGCCCTGGTGGCGACCGAAGCCTACTCTTATCGATTTTAAACCACAAAGGGATTTTTAACGTGCGCAACTTGCATGCGAGACCTCCGAGATTTTTCACCCTTGTCTGAGAAGGCTAGGTGTAGATCTTTCCTACCAGAAGATCAGGTGTGTGGCAGAAAGACAGCAGAAAGTAGGAGCCCAGGAGTAACAGTAGAAAGGCTGCAGAAAGAGTCAGGAGCCAAGAGGAGGTGGGAAAGGGGGTGACGGGGTGGAGGCAGAAAGTGGAGACGAAATCAGAAGATACAACATTGCTAGAGAGCAGGAACGGAGTTGAAAGAAGACAATTTTAGAGAAGAACATTTTTCGGTCGCCGCCCGGATTCGAACCCGGGACTTTTGAATAAGAGAAGAACACTTTAACCTCTAGGCCACGAGAGCCCCCTTCGGTACTGTGCGATGGGAAATAAATGTGCTGACTAAGCAGTCGTGGCCTGTGAGGACAAACTGGGCGGTCCCCGCGCGTCAGCAGTGCAGCAGCAGACGAAAAGGTCGAGGCCAGGCTGCTCTATAAGGACAGCTATAGGCTAGACCAAGGCTAGGTACTGAAGTAGGCCGGTTATTAAGTAGTCAAAAACCTTCACGTGATTCCCAGGCCCATTGTTAGTCTGTCAGCTGGAACCGTCTGGTGGGTTCAAATCTACCACGTGATACTTCTGGCTGCAAAGGAGTTGGGTAAGG